AACAAAGTTTCAATAAACAATACACATGCATTATTTGCCGTGCGAATACATAATAACAGAATGGGGAGCCTCGAGTAGTATAAAAGTAATATATTTATTGCTTTCTTTCCGGGGATGGATTTCGAATTCGAGTTTATTTATGATTGTTTGTATGAAAATTTTTCATTTACAGTATAGACATTTACGAGACTCTTTAGAAAAAGAATTTTTAATCTTCGCTTTTAATATTACATTTTTGTATAACATTATCCCTGTTTATCTCGATATTATTTTTATAATAATTTTGAGAAGCAGATTTTTATATTATTTTTACATTTTTTAATCTATTTCATTTTTTTTGCTAAAAATATATATTTTTTTATATAATATGTATTTTAAGCGCGCATAAGAGAAAAAATGTTGATAAAAAATATTTTATATGCTAACATTTAATGAAGATATATTACGTATTAATATATTTGATTAATACATCTATTTTGCAACAAAATTTTTTTATAAAAATATATAGGTATTAACTACATACGTATAATATCTCTCTTTCTAATTTGTCTACTTTTGTAATATTTAATTTTATAAATTATTTATTACTTTAATTTTTCTATTTTGTATAACGTTTGTATTTTTGTGGTATTTTTTTTATATTGAAAGAAACAGTTTCGTTTGTGTGTGTACATTTTTCGTGCTTTCGTTTCAATTTTATTCCACGTAAATTATTCATGACACCCGAATCGACCCGTATCGATTAGAGAAAGAATGTGCATCCGATTTCCGTCACATAAGATTTTTAACCGAAGTTCATGGAGAATACATCTATCTGAATATTTGAAAATGTGGATAGTGGAAATGCGAGAAAAAGGATACGACGTGCGCGTCATTTTCTTACAGCTAGCTATGCTTTTAGGGCGTCTGAAGAAATTGTGTGAGAGAATAATGGCGTGTCACTTAACATCAAAGTGATGTAAATCGATGCTTTGTGGCGGGATATAATGTATATGATATCGATTATATGTAAGCGGTGAAATTCTTTTCGACGTCTAAAGAGGCAGTATACTTTCTACCTCGTCTTATACACGTTTGAAAAAAACATGTATGTATATATAATAGTTATACTTTCTGCTTCTTTTTATAAAGATATAATTACATATGAAGAGTATTTATTTTTATTTTACTCTTTATATGACACAAATATATCTTGGAAATGGCATCGTTATTAATATTCATTTTTACAGTAAATGTATATTGAATTTTAGATAAATATAAATATATAACATATTAATTATAATATTCAATGAGAAGACTAAATAATTTCACGTATAATATTAATAATGAAATGACAAAAATATATAAATTTATTTTACATTATATAAATATCATGTTTATTCGAAGAAGAAAATCTTTTTCAATGAAATTATTAAATTATATTATTATATATAAATAAATTATAGAAAATAATGCATATCATATTTATTGTATATCTACATAAAATTTACAATCGAGTTTGATTACGATGCATGCAAGAGACCGTGACTAAAACAATTATCTCGTTTTCAGGACGTTTTAATTCTGATTTGCGATCATTAAGTGTGTAATTAACAGCCGCCTGTTGGCCGCGAGATTTCCTGATCCTTCCGTGCTCGTCGTGGAGTGTAATTTGTCGTACAAACGCGAAACGTTGCCCGCGGCGTGTCTGCACCAGGCGATTATCCATGAAATCGTGGCGATCGTGTCTGATCGTCGGTATATCAACAACTCGAACATTTGAGAATGTCGCGTTTAAATAAACGAGATTTCCGGACTCGCGAAACGAGAAACGGGAAACGGATGAGATGCTATCTCGGTGTCAAAAAAAAAAAAAAACAAAAAAACAGAATGCGATCGGGATGGAACGGCTGCGTGCACGTGCTCGTAGGATATGTGCTCCACGGTCTCGGTAATGGCCATTCTGCACACTGCGCGAATGCACGCATCGATCAATAAAGAGCGATTGCCGCCGCAGCCTTCCGCACCTCGCGTTCATCGACTGTCGACTGTGTATAGTCGACGTGCTGGAAGCTGGAAGCAGAGCTTGATAGAAATAGAGGGGTGAGAAAGAGGGGGATTCTTCTATGAGACCATTCGTCTCTTGGGGTCTGGAGTTTATGGTACAGCCGAACCCGATGTAACTGTCCGTGCAAATGGTCCATTTGTAAGATATTTTCCTCTTTCGACGAATGAAAAAGAAAATATACTCTTTTGCATTGTAGTTCTGTACGTAGTTCTAACTGTGTTGCAATAGATTTAATTTGCTTTGCTCTTTTATCTTATTTTTATATTGTGCTTTTTAGGTATTTTCATCGCGAACTTTTACAAAATTGATATGGTATTCGATTGTGCACAATTTGTCCATATTTGTTCATAAATAATCGTTTTTTTGTCAACTATGCAAACAAAACTAAAAATAAAAAAGAAATTGGAATAAATTTTATCATGAGTATCTCTAAAGGCACCCATTTTATAATTAAAAAAAAATCGAACTTAGAGATGCTTATGATGAAATTGATTGTTGACTCTTCTGTTTATTTTTAATTTTTGTAAGGTGGACAAAACATTTTTATCTATATGAATAAATGTAAATAAATTGTGGACGATCGAATACTATATCAATTTGTAAAAATTCGCATTTTGAGATGCCACTGATTTCACAAACCTGGGTCTTTTCTATTTTTTTTTCTATTTTCTATATATATAGAATATATATATATATATATATATATATCCTTACTATTTTATTTGCATATTTTTTGCACCCTCTTGAAATAAACTCATACTTTTATTCGTCATATATCCCTCAGACTGATTTAGAATGTGGGTTCAGTTGCGAATGGGAAGATGATTTTATCTAAATTAAAAAAGAGGGTTTCGTGATCCTTCATGTGTAAAATTGTTTTCATGTGTTTAAGGGTTTCAAGTATCACGCAGAAGTGAATTGTTTTCGCTTAGGGAAAACTTTGCTGTTTATACGATTGCAAATCGAATTCTATGCGATCGATACATTTATTACGGCCTTTTACGTTTAGAATAGATAAGGGTAACAAATTCTTTGTTGCCATTATCGTTGACAGGATCAAAATATGCGAGGAAAATGGGAATGCAAAACGTCTCAACGTATCATATAATAACAAGTTTGACAATGAATAATCCAGCTATAAGCTACACGCTTCCTTCACTCTTCTCCCAAGACGAAACCATTAAAGCAATAGACTTCGTGGTATTAAATACAAGAGCACCTGCGACACATTGAAACCCGTATTTTCGCTGCACATTTAGCACCAAATGTGACCAGTTATGGGGTTTTGCATTCGATTCATTTAATAATGCAGTTGATGAACGCAGCAATGTAAATATAAAATACAAATTAATTAATATAAAAATTAAATTTGAAAATATTTTATAAAATTAAATTTGATAATATTTATTATATATAATTATTATATAATATAAAACTAATTATATATTATTAATATATATAAATATATAATTATGTATATTTTATATATTAATCTTTATTATATATAATTATTATATATTATATAATATATTATAATATTTATAATATATAATAATAATTATACTAATATTTTTATAAAACTCATGCGATAATTGAAAGAAATATTTTATATGAACAATGTATAAAAATAATTTTTATAATTTGACTAACAAATATAGTTTTTAATTTTTAATATATTAGATACTTGCAAAAGTTTATAAGGTTACAAATATATGGCGCATTGTAGTCAGTTATAGTATAATAATAATTTTTTTTTAAGTTTTTTTAAAAGTTTGTTGACCATATTCAATCAGAATTGATGACTGATAAATCATAATTCCGAATATACTTCAATATTTAATGCTATTGAAAATGAAACCAGATAAAGTTATCTTCCCCACTGTATGCTTTATTACTTTAATCGAGGTGAAACCGCTGCAACAACGAAAAGACTGATTTGTGAGACAAATATTGTATCCGCTGCTGTTTGTGAAAAATGGTATAAAAGATTTAAAAGTAATGATTACAACATCAATGACGAAGATGATCTTTATCTGATTTTATTTCCAATCGCGTTAAATGTGAAAAATTATATTGATTTATCAGTCATCAATTCTGATTGAATTTAGTCAACATTTAAAAAGCAAATAAAAAGAAAATAATTACTAACGCGCCATAATTTATAACTATACGGACTTTTTTTTGCAGCACCTAATATAAACTACAATATAATATATAATATAATATATATAAAATATATAAAATATCAGTAAGTTTGAAGATACATTTCTTTTTCTTTTAATTTAATTATCATGTACAAATATTTTTAAGAAAGAGAAAAGTATTTAAGAATAAAGTGGAAATCTATAGTAAACATTTATTCTACAATAATGTATAAATGAAATTTTGCTACAGGCCATATTCTTATTAAGTTTTCACTGGCGCACGCTGAAGCATTTTATAGAAACCATATTTTAAGAATTTTTTTATAAAACTCACGCAATAACTAAAATAAATATTTTATGCAAGCACATATTGTACAAAAATACAAATAGGTTTTTAATTTGATATATTGCGTTTTCTTTTAATTATCGCATATAAGTAATATTTTTTTGAAAGAGAAAAATATTTAAGAATACGCTATATATATATATATATAATTAAAAAATCTATTTAACTTAAAAATTTATTCTACGTAATTAATCCTACTGTGTGTGCGACTATATTATGTCGTTCGTTGTCCAAAGATATAATATTTTAATGTCTTTATCATTTTCCTCCCATATAATATATTCATTATACACCTTATAATTAATTGACAGCAGACGGAATAAGGAATCGCATTTTTTAATTGACGCGCCAAACGCATTAGAAAACGAGTCAATCACGTGACCGGCGAAATTTCTATTAGCGCCGTACTTCACGTCGCGCTTCCCTCCTTTTCCCTGCCCCCTCAGTCAGGTAGTGACCGCTGTGTACTTCGTACGCATTTTTACTTGCTCCGTACTTCCTCGCCGGTGCGTACGATGGTGCGTTAGCAGCAGGCAATCTTCTCTCGATGTACGTATATAGTAACCTGCGCATATCGTGTCATCGATATATTCGTCAATTTCGCGATCTATGCCATCGATTCGGCAGATTCATTCTCTTTACGGCTCCTTTATCATCGCACATTTATTTCGTTCATGTTGCAGTGCTTGCTGTTCCTCATCATCAAAGCAGCACCGGGAACTCCGGGAAGGAGAAATATCGGGGAATATCGAGGAACATCGAAAGGAGCATCAGGATACGTTGAAAGGAGCATTGTCGGGATAACAGTCGGACAATGATCCTGTTCGCTCGCAATATTCCTGAGTAATCGTGTGGCTCGTTCGCCATGAAGGCTGCCGCGATTGGAGTTTTCCCGCCGATTCGAGATAAGCGCGAATACCGGGAGTGCCGAATCAGTATATATCTACGGGCGATCGTGTGTGTGTTGTTTCGGTGTACATTAATCCGTGCAGTTGTATCGTAACGTGTAATCGAGAACGTTCGGTTGAAATCTCGCCGTTTTCGTCGAAACGATACGGTAGTATTGTATTCCTAAACCTACATAGTGCTTTTCTCGTGTATTATATTTCGCGAATCGCGAGTGTGTGTGACTAATGTATCCAGGAATATATCAAGGATTAAAAGGAGCCTCGAAGGAGATTTATCGGCTACGTCGTTAAAGAGTGAGTCCTTACATGCTTTTTTCTAACCTTTAAACCGAAACATTAGCTTGTGATATTAAACAGTGGTTTGTAATAGGAACAGTTTATACAATAAGTATATTTTTTTGGAGGTTATAAATTAATTATAAAGTGTATATATATATAATTATTTATCATATTCTATTACTTATATTTTATGCTTTATTTATACATAATATATTTTAAATATTTTCCGGAGAAAATTTTATATTTAAATTATTTCTTTATTATTTATTGCACGTAGTTTCCTAAAAAGTAAGAAATATATAGAAAATGTAATATCCTTTAATCAAATATAATGTTTCGATTTAAAAGTTAATTATTTTATAAATACATTTCTAAGAATATATCAAAATAAATAACTGAAAGCTGAGAAATGTGAAAGAATAAGAGAGATATATAAGTAAAACACTAGCACCTGATGATATATATGATAACATTTTCATAAATTGTTTCTAACATATATGTCAAACTGAAAGTTCAGATATAATAAGCAATATGTGCGAAATATTATTTTAAACGTACGCGTGTAAAAGGATAACAATTAAAAACTTGTCACTTTAACGGCTACAACACCTTGTGTAGCATTAATTTACGTAAAGTGAAACATTAGTATCTGACGATATATAAATAAAATAAAAATTTTATAAATTGTTTCTAGCATATATGTCAAACAAAATTCAGATACAATAAGCAATATCCTCGAAAGATTATTTTAAACTTAAACGTACGTGTATAAAAGATAATTAAAAACTTGTCACTATAATGGCTACAACACCTTCTGTAGCATTAATTAATGTAAACACGAAAGTCATTTGTTCATTATTTCTGCGAATCGTCAGAGAAATCACGGACCATCGACGACAAAATTGCTCGCGTGGGTACTTTAATCGCGGCGATTTATCCTGGGGCGAGAACACGATTGAAACCGCAATTCAATGGAAATAGCCCCGGGTCCCCTTTCACTACGCATTTTCTTTGAGGGCGCGAAGTGACAAGCTGGTGAAATAGACGAGGGAGAAGACGCGGCGTTAAAATTCCGCGTCGTTCTATCTTCCCTACATAATATATATGCGTATATAGAGAAAGAGAGAAAGAACGTGCGATATATAAAACTAGATCGCGCGCGAACTTGGCGCGTATATACTTTTTACAAATCCGTCAATTTATCACGATGTTCGAGAGCGAAATGCGCTGTGTGCGCTGCCCTTCCAGATGGACCCGTTTTTTCACGGTCGAACGGTCGAACCTCGTAGCCGATATTTTATCCCGTAACGATAAGAGTTCCAAGTTGAACTGATGTAACGCGATTTTCTTCTTGCTGGCGCGCGAAAACGTCGACGAGATTCTTGAACAGTGATCCTTTCGCTTGTGCCAAAAATTAATGCAAGAAAGAACTTGCGAAGATAAATCTCTTTTTGTAATTTTTTAGCATTTACATAATTCAAAAGTCTTTTGCTATAGCGTAAAGCACATTTTTAGAAATTGTTTCTAGTGTACCAGAAGCTCGTCGAATTATGGAAATAATTTCTGTTTTCTTTTTTAATTTTACGTAACATATATATGCATATGTAATACATGTATAGTTTTTCTGAATTATATTTAATATCACGAGAAGCGATTTTAGAATCGTTAGACAAGCTTTGATGCGTCACAATAATATCCACCAAAAGAAAATCATGAAATTCATGAATTTTACTTTGTGACAATCTAAATTTCAAAAATTACTCATCTGAAAAAATCTAAGAGAATTTTTTAAATATTGTCTTACTTTAAATTTTAGGAATAAAGATTTAGGAATAAAGATTAAAGGATTAAAGATTAAACTTTTAAAACTTTTTCTGTAGATATAAATTTAGTTTTTTTCTCTTAAGGAGTAGAAATTCTAAATTTAAATCGAAATTTTTTTAAAATAAATAATTTTAAATCTAGATTTTAGTTTTTTTTCTTGAATGAGGACATTTAATTTACATTTTTTAACGAATCAGATCTTGAATTTATACTTCCTTTATTAAGGCAGAAATATTTTATTATTTAAATTTTGTTAAGAAATATAAGGGCTCTAAAGACGCTGAAAGAGTTTAATGTTTGAACTTGTGTACCTGTGATCTGTTTAATTTTCTTAATTCCGCTGCGTGTTGTGTCGGAGAATGAAGACTGTGATGACAGTCGTGCATGGCAGGTATATCAGATTCTGTATAGCATAGCATAGCGAAACAGCGGCAGCAGCTTCTCCGACTTGGGTGCTCTCGTAGTAGTAAATCAACTCAGTCAGAGAGAGAACAGGATATAATTCGGGATATCACGCTCTGGCTCTATGCTTTAACGTAATATTCTCCTTCTCGTGACATTAACATACGATTTTGCGGAAACTTGACAAATACAATTATTCTAACTCAATACAAGAATCTTCCATTTACATTTAATCATGAAATTATATTTACATATTTAATCTCATATAGATAATTTAAAATGAATAAAAATTTCATATTTAATATTATGAAATTTAATATTATACTAAACTTTTATAATATTTATAATAATTTAATATTCGTAACAAAATTTCACATTTATCGAGTGGGAGGGAAGGTTAAAGTTAATCGGATATTAAATTAATACCGTAAATATACATACGTGTATATCATATTTTCTTTTCCAGAATTTCGAAATGTTTCGCTGAGGGTTAACGTGATTCCTTATCGATAAATAATTCGCGGTAATAAATCCTTGCCGATAATATTGTTTTCGCGCAGTTTGCGGTCCCTCTATTTTCATCACGTTCTGATAACGCGACCCTCGCCTTATATTCGCGTTCGCCAGCGGGTTATACAAGAGTTATTCTAGTCGCCTCTTCTCATTCTCTCGCGTGACAGATCGGGCACGTGGGGGAAAGGGACGGGAAATCGGTGGGACGGAAGGCGCGCGAGATGGGGTGGCAGGAAATAGATGGGTTAAACCCATTCATTTGTGACGTAGATTAATATCTCTTTCAGCTTTGACCGAAATTTCGCGGCGACGCGACGAGCCGTTGCGTTGTAGTAGTAAGTAGTCGCGGTACCACAATGCCGCACCAGGACAATGTAACGAGCGAATAGTAACCTTGGCTCGTATTCTCCCGATCGACGAGATGAAATGATTCCCCGGGACGTGGCGTCTCTTTCTCCTATTGCAAAGCAGGGGCACTTTCTTTATATCGGGCGGCATTAAGAATAAAACGTTATTGCAGCTCGGACTCGTTTTCGCAGTCGAAAGGGTATTATTACGCAATTAAATTTCGAGCGAAATTAATCTCCACGGTTACTGCGAGAGAGAGAGAGAGAGAATATGTTTGTTTCTTCTACTTGTTTTACGGATTAATTTAGGAGAGATGTTGTGTTGCTGAAAAATCCACAGCAGAAATTTCCGATCCTCTGTCGCGGACTTTGTCGCTGTATCGCTGCAGGAACAAGAGTTTCATCGTTTTGTATGCGAATAGTCGTATGAAAACATATAATCCCTTGAGTTATACAAGTAGAAACGTGAACTGTTTGCAAACGGTTAATGTGTGCAAGTAAAGAAAGTTACAGACGATAGAATTCTATTCAAGACAACGATTGTGTTAAGGAGTACATATACTGGATATAAGTGACATAATATGAAAGAAAAATTATAGTTATAATTAATGATCATTATGAAAAAAAAGATTATTAATATAATATTATACATAGAGAGAATTTTCTTTTAGAATTTACTCTGAAAATCATGATAATTATGGGACAATATGTATTGGAAGAATTTTATAAGAGTTTCTCCAATATTTACACCTAATAAAAAATATTAATATTTACTATAATAAATATAAAATTGTTCGATTAATTTTACTATGTACGTATATTAATATTTTTTATTGTGCTAAATATTAATTAGAGAAAAACTTTTCTAAAATTTTTCTAATCCATATCGTCCCATACGATTACCATGATTTTCAGGGATAAATTCTAAAAGAAAATTCTCTCCGTGTATAGTAAAAATCAGGATTTCTAATTCGAGAATTGTGAGCTATACATATATTTTATATCTTCCATAGTATCTTGGATTTTAAATAAAGATAATTCGTCCTTCTCCTCTCTTGGCATATTTCGCGAGCGATTATAATTCTCTTGGTTCTTCCTTGCCGCCAAAACAAACGGATATCGTATATTTGATTCTGCCCTAGTTTCATCCTCAAACAATTCGCTTTCCTTTTACAGTCGTCCTTCGTACGCCGCGAAACGGTTAATCGCGATTTCCGATCGCGTTTTGTTTCTCCAAAAATACACAGACACATACATCTATCTATATCTCTGCCCACCCTACACCACCGCGTTAAAGTTCGCCAAGTTTGATAGGTTTCTCGCCCTCGCGCGTTGCACGAAACCGGCATCATTCGGCACAAAGCATTTTAATAAAACGCGATCAGCGTTTGCTCGCGTTCGCCCGGGCCTTTATAACTGGGTCGACTTTTCGCGACGTTCGATAACTGCAACAGCAGCCAGCAGTAGCAGCGAAAAGCAGGCGGCAAACAGCAACGAATGAAGTTTCCGTACGACGTTTATTACAACCGCCGGATACGAAAAGCGAGAACGGCGGCAGGGTTTAATGGAACGCAATAGCCCGGCGCGAATCCAGTTTCCGCACAAATTTCGTTCCTGCACTCTTCTTCGTTAACCGGCCCTTAACTCGTGGATATATCCAACTTTATTTCGCACACGTGACTATCTCTCTCTGAATGGTTGCGGCTCCGATATAGTTTCGTGGAAAATTAACATAGATATTCAATTATATTTTTTTTTTAAATGTAGTATCTCCCATTATATTATATTATAATAGAGAATTTTATATTAAAAATTATTATATTTTACGATATCAGCGTTTTATATTATAAAATGCATAAAATGCATAATCATATATGTATAATATTGTTAGAAATATTACACGCACACATCACTCGAAGAGAACGATCT